TTACTGTTGTTCAATGTTAAATGTCAACCTAAGTGGGCCACAGGGTACCCAGATTGAACATTATTTCTACATATGTCTATAAGGATATTCCAAGTGTAATTAACACTTAAATTACAAAACTCAACAAAGATTGACTTCCTCAGTGTATCTTCCAAATTCACTGAGGATTTGAGTAAAACACAGAGAATTGGAAAGGAGGATTTGTCCCCTTTGCTTTCTGCCTGCTTGAGCTGGGAAATCACTCTTTGATGCTTGGGCTGAAATTTATAAAACTAGCTAGCCCCCTTGGTCCTCAGGCTTCTAAACTTGGGCTAAAATTCCACTGTGGGCTTTTTTGAACCTTCAGTTTTCATATAGTAGATCAGAGGACTTTTTAGCTTCTACAGTATGTGTGTGTGTGTGTGTGTGTGTGTGTGTGTGTGTGATTCTATCTCTTTACCTTCTATTAGTTCTGTTTCCCTGGGGAAACCTAATAACTGGATGTTCTCCAATTGAGCATAGAGAAAAGCTAAATTAATGACCATATATCCATACTTTGAGCATGGAAAACTTTGTGATATATTGAACTGGAGAAACCAAGACATCTAAAAGTTCATTATTATGAACGGTTTTCTAGAAAGATATTTTAGAATATACCACATTACAACTTACAGTTGACACTTCATAGATATTTTATATTTATAAGTTTAAGAATTCCTTGGAAAACTGAAGATAATGCCTCACTTTAAGCTGCATGTATACCATTTAAAAGATCTCTTTTTACAATATATAACTGTCTGAACATGGGGTACAAAGTAGCATGATCATTTTTGATTGGATATGAGATTTATTACAGAACATTTTAAGTGTGTTGGTTAAATTTAGCATGGTGTAAGTTCCCATGAGTGCAAGACTTACCACATGTCCAGGGGGCCATGACTGGGGATATATTTAATCCCACAGTTATCATGGTTAAGCCACGTTTCAGCTAACATGTTTTCAAATTCGTGAGCTTTAAGCCTGGAGAAGCCCCACTTCTTTGAAATGTGTATCTTCTGGTGACCAGAGAACTTAAAATTGGCCCTACAGAAGGCCTTAATCACATGTACTTTATTTTGTAGCATGCTTCAAATGGACATCATGACCTGACAAATGTGAACCTTGATCACTGAGCCCTGGGGCTTTCCAAAGTCACACTGAACATGTATCTGGAGCATAAACTGAAATAGTAGATCGTACACTTGAAGAGCCTCTGAAAATCTTTGGCTGCAGCATGCCTTCGGGCAATCCATACAAGTAATTTGCTACATGTACTACCAAGGACACTGCTATTTAAAGTCATTGCACTCAGACCTCCCTGAGGAAAGGAACCTGCTCAGCTCATTTGACTACAGAGTGATTTTTAAATACAATATGAAATCAGTCTAGTTAACATGGCTATCATATCAAATATTTAGTATTTTGTGTGAAAATTTTGAATTTACTTTCTTAGCAATTTTGAAATGCATGCTCTTCTATTATTGGCTATATTCTCCGTCCCATGAACTTCTGTGTCCCTCACCACTATACTCCATCACTGCCAAGTCACTGGTCTACTTGGATTTTTATCATTATAAACTAGTTATATGTGCCAGAACTCTTGTAAGTGGATAATGTAGCATGTATTCTTTTTCTGTCTGGCTATTTTCAATCCACATAATTATTTTGACTTTAATTTTTTCTGTGTATTATTATTTGACTTCTGTAAATAGCTGTTGTGGATATACGATGGCTTTACCACTTAACTGTTTAAATTTGGGTTGTTTTCATTATTTAGCTACCATAAAGAAACTGTGAACATTTGTGTATATGATCAATATGAACATACACATTAATTTCTCTGGGGTTAATACTGAGGAGTGCAATGGGGGATTCTTATAGAAGGTATGTCATTTTTACATTTTGATGGACCTATTTAGGTTGATTTTTTAATTGTTTCTAATTATTATATTTGCATAAAAGAAAAATTAGGATCAGAAAATATAACAAATGATGCAAAGCTTATCCAGAAGCAGATGCTAGTAATTATTCATTTCTTTCTGTGTCGTGCTGTGGATCAGATCCGGAGCATCAGTCATGTGAAGCTGGCACTCCGCTACGGAGCAGTAGCTCTAGCCCAGCTATTCACTTTTGAATTGATGCCATCCTACACTCATTATTGTTGATGAATGTAAGTTAAACCTAATTCTATTTGGTTTGAAATCTTCCAATATTAGTGAATTATGCAATAAGAAATTTCTCCAAAACGAGAGTTTTAGTTTGCTTATTTGTTGTGATAAACACCATAATCAAAAGGAGTTTCTGGGAGGAAAGGATTTATCTGGCTTACACTTCCATACCACAATCCATCACTGAAGGAAATCAGGGCAAGAATTCTAGGCAGGAACCTGGAAGCAGGAACTGAAGCAGAGACTGTGGAAGAATGCTGTTTGCTGGCTCATTCCCACTGGCTTGCTCAGCTATCTTTCTTTTACTGTCCAGGCCCACCTGCTTAGGGATGGCACCACCCCCAGTGGGCTGGGCCCTCCTACATTAGTCAGCAGTAAAGAACATGCCCCACAGACATGGCCCCAGGACAGTCTGATCAAGGAAATCCCTCAGGTGAGATTCCCTCTTCCCAGGTGACTCTAGTTTGTGTCAAGTTAACAAAGATCAATCGGCATAAGAACCAACTTCCAAAAATTATTGACTTCCATATGGCATAAACAACCCCCACACTATACAACATAAAAACTAAGTGAAATTTAAAACAAAGGAAATTCTCCAAGAATTTCCTAACTATAGGAATCATACCAGATTCTTGTATAGAATGAATGAATCAGAGTCCTTGGAACATCTTCAGACCTCCTTATTCAAGAGCACTGCAGCGATCAACTTGAGATGCTGTAACTAGTATCTTAGGTCATTTTTGTGGTCATACAATCTAGAAAATGTGATCTGGTATAGAACCTCCTCTTTTCATTAAATGCGAAGACATCTATAAGTGCAATACAGATATTAATAACAAACTCAGACTGTGATAAAGATTTCACAACATTATGTTGACTAATTTTATAATTTAAAGCATTAGAATAATTTGAGATCCATCTCTATAATTAAAAGATGGATATAGATTGAACGGCAAATAGATGTACTTTATGAGTACATCAATATTTACTTCCTGACTTGTTTCTAAGACATTAAGCAAAATTTGCCACTACATGTATCAAAAGTTCAAATGTGTTCATAGAATGTAACTAAAAATAGTCAACTAAGCAAAGTAAAAATTATGATAAAGATGCTTTTTAGTGCATAGTACATCTCTATAGTCATGTACTATAACACTAAAATGATAGCTCATAATGACGTAAGTTATTACAAGTAAATAAATGTTTTCATCCTCGTGTAATTATTCTGATCCCCACACCAACTACTCTGTATTTCCATGTCAAAACATTGAGAAAAAGAACATATAAGGGAAACATAAGTTCATTTTCCTCAGATAGTTTCACTGTTGGCTGAAGTTTTATTCCTTGATACTTAGACCAGCTGACATTCTCAGATTTTTTCATACCAATTCCACTAACCCAGTTTCATAGCTGTTATTTAGTTCCTTGATGTTTCCCCTCATCATTTTTGTAATAAATAAATATACTTTCCCTATAAACTATCTAGAAGGAAAACAATCAAAAAAACAATGAACCTCTCTTGAAGAGTTAAGAAGTCTAAGGGGAAGCAAAAATTAAAATTGCAGAGTAAGAGTTGCAGATCAAGTTGTACAGGATACACTGAGAGAAAAGATAGAGATAAATTCATAGTCTTATATATATTTTTGGTTTTTTAATTTTTGAGACTTTATACAATATAGTTTGATGTTATTTAAATCTCCTCCCCTATCCGTACCTCCCTCTACTCTCCCCTGTCCAATTTAATGTACTCTCATATACAGAATCTGATCTGTGTCTCCAAATGCCCATCCACTGGGCCCACAAAGATTGCCATCCCCATAAGACAATGTATCTCCCCCTCCAGCAGCCATCAATTGCCAAAAGTTCCTTAGGTTGGGTTGGGATTTCTTAATCACTTCCCTGTGGCTAAGTTGGAATTGTGTCTGGTTTGAGCGTGCATAGATTTGTGTATGTTGTCACCATTGCTGTTAGTTCGTATGATATCTGAAAAACATACATACAATAAATATATGAGTGCACATGTAGAGCTGAGGAATTTATAACAAAACAAAACAAAAACAAACAAACAAACAAACAAAAACACAGTGTCAGGCAGGAGAAACCTCCCTTCGAGTCACTGGTGAGGATAATACAAGAGATCACCAGAATAACACACACTTTTGCCACAGCCCTAGATTGTCTCCCAGAACTTGAAGGTAAAACCCTATTTTGAAGACAGGACATACTTCGAGCACAGTACTAGGAGCAATGGACCGACCTGGGAACCTCCTCCCTGAAGACTAGCTCTAATAGTTTCAGAGGCTACTATGCAAGTTGCTAAGAGAGAAAAACAATCAATGATCCTACTCAGCTGTAAAGTCTTATATATTTTTGATATTTAAAATAAATAGTAAAGATAGATGAAACAAGAATTTAATAAAATAAATAGTAAAGATAGATGAAATAAGAATTTAATAAAGTATTTAGAAATTATTTTATGCAAAACAGAAAAATAATTTGTAACAAAGAACATTGAAAGGAATATACTAAAAATCAAAATAAATGTTTTGAAAATTTTAGGATAGTGCAAATTTAACAAAAATTGAGTCCTTTGATCAAGAATAGAATAGAAACTTTTAGAAAATCAAAACAAAAAATTGAGAAAGAGAAAGTAACAATAAAATATTACAAATTTAAAATATGCATACCAGAAATATTTAAATGCTACATGCAGCAAAATAGATAGAACTGGATGGCATCATGTCAGATGAAACATGCCACACACAGAAAGACAGGTGTTATACATGCTCTCTCATATGTAGAAATCCATGAAGAGGAAGAAGAAGAAAATGATAAGCTGTCAAAATATAAAATATAAAAGAGTTTTCATCACAAAATCACGATGAAGGAGAGTTAATCTTTATAATATCTCATGTTTTCCTGAATTTCCCACTTATACTTGTGCCCCTCATGAACTGATGTTCAAAGTTTTCTGGCCTTGTTCAATTGGAGTCCTTTTTATGAAACAGTGTTCTAAGTACAATTTAAGATTAGAAAATAAGTGTGAAGGCAGCTTGTAATTTAAGTATCATTTTGGTTATAATTAATCTTAATTTTTAAAATTAAAAACAAGGCTGCAGTGTCAGGGCGAGAGCTGGTGAGATTTGGTTTAACAGCCATGAAGGCCTTTAGCACTCATCATTGTGGCCCCATCACCCTCTCTGCACCACAGTGACCCTTCTCTCACACCGTCTGTATCTGACCAAGCAGGCAGGAAGAGCAAGAACAATCATCTCTGTTTCATGAAAAGAGGAAAAGTACGTACGCAATGTTCCGTGAGCATTTGTGCTTATATATTTGTGCTTGTATGTTGATTTGCATTAGCATGTCAAGTAAGAAAGCAGATTAAGCCATGTACAAGCTTATGTGTCTAGATACATTCCGTAATCTAAGTTATTCTTCTTTCATCTAGATACTGAGCTAAAGAAATACTATCTTCAAAGGATCTTGCAGGAAGTCATTAACTAAGAAAACATGGGCAAATCTCTTATTGGGGTAGCTCACAAATATTTAGAGCTCAGTAAATGTTAGTAAATATGTATACAATACCATAAAAATCAGACACTAGACTCTTCACATGTAGAGACTATAGTTATCTCTGAGCCAGCAGTATGCTAGATGCTGTAGACTATTAGTGAGCGCTGTGGCCTGAATTTAAAATAGATCAACATTACATCACAGTCACTCTATATTTCTGTCACTTTCCAATAGTATTTTAATATTTCTAACAAAAATTTTAATTAAATATTGAAAATATTTACCTGGAGGAATGTAAGTATATCAAAGAATCAGTGCTTTTAAGCAGTGATCAGTAACCATCTGCTATTATAGATAGACATTTTAAAGAAACTTTAATAATTTTTGATATTCCCTTTGCTTCACTGCTCAAAATATTTCAGTTTTTCCTTGGCTATTTGGGGTTGGTAGATTTTCTTTGTGACCATAAGATCTCGCTTCAATATTTTCTAATAATGTTATTTTCTTTGAGAATTTCATGCAATGTATTTTGATGATATCCATTCCCAGTTCTTTCCCTTGCCTTCCCAGTTTTACCCACTTCCCTACCCCCACCAACATCATGTTCTCTTTTTTGTCTTTAAAGTTAATAACTCGTTTACTGACTTTAATTTGTGCTGCCCATATAGTCA